AGGGATAGATAGATAGATAGATAGATAGATAGATACATAGATACATAGATACATAGATGACAGATGGATGGACAGATAGATAGATGAGATCAGGCATGGGCCAACTTCCTGCTGGGAGGACTGTCTACCTAGTGATGGATGGATGGATGGAAGGAAGGAAGGAAGCGAAGGAGGAAGGGAAGAGAGAGGGAAGGAAGGAAGGAAGGATGAAAGGGAGGAAAGGGAGAAAGGAGGAAGGAAGAGAAGGAAGGAGAAAGGGTGGAAYGGAAGGAAGGAAGATGAAAGGGTGGAAGGGATTGGAGAGAGGGAGAAAGAGAGAGGGGAGGAAAGAGAGAAAGTAGGAAAAGCAAAAGGGAAGGAAGGAGAGAGGGAGAGAGGGAAGGATGAAAGTGTGGAATGGAAGGATGGAAGGAGAAAGAAGAAGGGAAGGGATGAAGGCAAGGAGGAAGGAAAGAGAGAAGGAATAAAATACAAAAGAGAGAGAAGGAGGGAAGGATGAAATGGTGGAAGGGAACGATGGATGGAAGGAAGGAAGGAAGGGAAGGAGGAAGGAAAGAAAATGAGAAAAGGATGAAAGGGTGGAGGGGAATAGAGAGAGGGAGAAAGAGGTGGGGGGGAAGAGAGAAGGGAGGAAAAACAAAATGGAAGGGGAAAGAGGGAGAGAGGGAAGGAAATAAGGATGAAAGGGTTGAAGGGTAGGAGGGAGGGAGAAAGAGAGAAGGAAGAGAAGGAAGGAAGGAAAGGAAAGGAAAGGAAAGGAAAGGAAAGGAAAGGAAAGGAAAGGAAAGGAAAGGAAAGGAAAGGAAAGGAAAGGATAGGATAGGAAAGGATAGGAAAGGATAGGAAAGGATAGGATAGGATAGGATAGGATAGGATAGGATAGGATAGGATAGGATAGGATAGGATAGGATAGGATGGTGAGAGAAAGGAGGGCCTGAGAAAAGAGCCCAAGGGGCCTCATCCAACCCCCGGGCCTGGATTCACCCATACCTGAATTAGATTGTACCTTAGGCAGAACCCACAATTTTAGGTTGTTTTACTCATAAAGCACATTGATGGTGCTGTATAAATACACAACAACGATAATACATAACAATAATAACATGCACAGTTATTAGTACACAACAAATATAATAATATAACACAGCATTACTGTTGTGTATAAATAGACAACAACAACAACAATAATTATAGTGTGTGTATGTTTCCTATCCTAAAAATAATGTGTGAATTCTGTGCAGAATATTCCCCAAGCTTTGAAATTTTCTTTTTGTTCCAGGATCTCCCAAATGTGAGAAATATAGTCTCCAACCATTTTAATACAATATGATAATATAACACAACATTATTGTTGTGTATAAATAGACAATGATAATAATTGCTGTGTGTTTCCTATGCTAAAAATAATGTGTGAATTCTGTGCAGAATAATCCCCAAACTTCAACATTTTCTTTTTGTTCCAAGGTCTCCCAAATGTGAGAAATATAGTTTCTAACCATTTTCAATATAATATAATAATACAACACAACATTATTGTTGTGTATAAATACACAATGATAATAATGTGTGTGTGTGTTTCCTATACTAAAAATAATGTGTGAATTCTGTGCAGAATATTCCCCAAGCTTTGAAATATTCTTTTTGTTCCAGGATCTCCTGTCCAAATTGTCCCGAATGTGAGAAATATAGTTTCCTACCAATTTTTAATATAAAATAATAATATAACACAACATTATTGTTGTGTATAAATACACAACGATATTAATGAGTGTGTTTCCTATACTAAAAATAATGTGTGAATTCTGTGCAGAATAATCCCTGAGCTTCGAAATATTCTTTTTGTTCCAGGATCTCCTATCGAAATTGTCCCGAATGTGAGAAATATAGTTTCCAACCATTTTTATTATAATATAATAATATAACACAACATTATTATTGTCCATAAATATGCAATGATAATAATTGCTGTGTGTGTTTCCTAAGCTAAAAATAATGTGTGCATTCTGTGCGGAATAATCCCCGAGCTTCGAAATTTTCTTTTTGTTCCAGGATCTCCCGAATGTGAGAAATATAGTTTCCAACCATTTTTAATATAATATAATAATACAACACAACCTTAATTGTTGTGTATAAATACACAGTGATAATAATTGCTGTGTGTGTTTCCTATGCTAAAAATAATGTGTGAATTCTGTGCAGAATAATCCCCGAGCTTCGACATTTTCTTTTTGTTCCAGGCTCTCCTGTCCAAATTGTCCCGAATGTGAGAAATATAGTTTCCAACCAATTTTGGAATGTTTTCCAATCTTCTTTCCCTCCCTCTTTGGAACATGAGGGAAGGCAGAACTGACAGATTACAACTGTGCCCTAAGCAGAGGGTTCGACATGTTTAGCTCTCGTAAGCCTGGCTTTGAATCTTAAGAGATTCGACCATATGGGTGGCACCAAATTAGGAATGACAACTTCGCTTTTCTGAAAAGCTGGGGATCGCTGTACCTATTTAATTTGCCAGTGCAGATGGATGAGGTTTTTTCCCCATTCGGCCATCTTCTTTTGCATAAATAGTGTGGAAAGAACTCCAGATTTCGAAAAATGAAACAGATTTATCCTTCGGTCCCTAGCTGGTGGAATGAATCCTTTTCTGCTGGTCTTGCAGTCACTCTCAGGACAACTGAGTGACTTGTCCATATGGCTCCCAGGAAGAAAATCATGACAAAAGAGGAGCCCAGTCTGGGCCCATCTATCAACCACCTTCTCCAGAGCTTCCTTCCTTTGTGTTGTTTCTGGGAGATTGTGAGCCTTTGAGATACAGATGTCTTCTCGTCTTCATTCTGCCCAGAACTGAAATTCTTTGGAAGTGGTCGGCATCCTTTTCGCAACATACAGGAGTTCAGTTCCACCCTAGCACTTGAATATCTATATTTTGGCCTGTTGTGGAAGTTGGGATTCCCCTCTTTCCTCTGCAACAGGCATGGGCAAGCTTTCTAATTTGGGGGCCACTAGCACTCCCTACTAAAAGGACTGGCTGTCTGGTGATGGAAGGAAAGAAGGAAAGAGAGAAGGAAGGAAGAAAGGATGAAAGGAAGGAAGGGAAGGCTGGAAAGGAAGGATGGAAGGAGAAGGAGGGAGAGAGGGAAGGCGGGAGGAAGAGGGAGGAAGGAAAGAAAAAGGAAGAGGGAAGAGAGAGGAAGAAAAAAAGAAGGAAGGAAAGATGGAAAGAAGGGAGAGAGGAAAGAGGGAGGAAAAAGGGAAGGACAAAAGGGAAGGAAGGGAAGGATGGGAGGAAGGAAAAGAAAGGAAAGAAGGATGAAAGGAAGGAAGGAAAAAGAAGAAGGAAAGAAGAGAAGGAAGAAAAGGGAAGAAAGGAAGGAGAAAGAGGAGAAGGGAAAGCAAAGAAGGGAAGAAGAAGAAATGGAAGGAAAGAATGGAAGGAAGGAAGGAGGAAGGAAAGAGAGAAGGGAGGGAGGATGAAAGGGAGAAAGGGAAGAATGAAGGAGAAGAGGGAGAGAGGAAAGAGGGAAGGAAGGAAAGACAAAAGGGAAGGAAGGATAAAAGGGGAAAGAGAAAGAGAAGGAAGAGAAGAAGAAAGGAGGAAGAGAGGAAGGGAAAGGGAAGGGATAAAGAGGGGGGGAAGGAAGGGAGGGAGAAAAGGAGGAAGCAAAGACACGGAAGGAAAGGCAAAAGAGAAGGAAGGAAGGAAGGGGAAGAAGGAGGAGGAAGGAAGGAGGAAGGAAAGAGAAGAAGGAAGGGAGAAATTGAAGGATGGATGGATGGATGGAGATGGATGGATGGAAGGAAGGGAAGGAAGTAGGAATGCAAGAGTGAAGGAAGGAAGGGCGAAAGGGTGGAAGGGAATGGAGCAAGGGAGGAAAGGAAGAGAGGAAGGGAGGAAAGAGAAGGAAGGAAAGACAAAAAGGAAGGAAGGAAGGGAGAAAGAGAGAGGGAAGGAGAGAAGGAAGGATGAAAGGGAAGGAGAGAGGGAAGAAGGAAGGAAGGATAGGATGGTGAGAGGGAGGAGAAAAGAGCCCAAGGGACCACATCTGGGCCTGGGTTTGCCCATATCTGGTCTACAACAACTCAACACACACACATGCATTGAATTCACTATGTTATTGCTGCAGCCACCCACAATTACCATTCCATTGCTGGTGGAGAGCCAAGGGAGCAGAGAAGTGCCTGGCTATGTTCCTGTAGCCAGACTCAGACCAATAACATCTCCTTCTGAGACATCTGGAGAACCGTAGTGTGTCTTGGGGGAAGATGGCCTTGATTTTAGTTTGCTTTGGCGTTGATAGCCAGATTCCTCTTTAATTTTGATGGAATCTCATTTTTAATTGCACTCATATCCAGGTGCTTCTCCAATTTCTCCAGTCTGAGACATCTGGAGATCCGTGACATATCTTGGGGGAAGATGTCCTTGTTTTGCATCTTGCTCTCGAGATATAGCCAGATGCCTCTTCAATTGTGGTGGTATCTCACTCTGAACACACTCTGAGGACATAGCCAGATGCCTCTCCAATTTCTCCCCTCTGAGACATCTGGAGAACCTTGGTGTATCTTGGTGGAAGATGTCCTCTTGAGATATAGCCAGATACCTCTTCAATTTTGATGGAAGATACCATTGGTTTGCAACTTGTTCTGGGGAGATCACTAGATGCTTCTTCAATTTTGGTGGCAGATGTCCCTGGCTTGTATCTCGCCTTGGAGACATAGACAGGTGCTCTTCAATCCTTTCTGCTCTCCAGCAACCATTGCTGAGAGAGGTGAGCAAGTTGTCACCTGTGGCACACTGAGTCCTGTGGCTGGTGACAGGAACCATAACAGTGTACCACAGATGGAATTCATACATTATGAGCCTCCATGTAGTGTCATTAATAATGGGCTCAATTCTTGTGGCTGCTTGTATGGAAGTTAAACCTGGTTGTGATTATTGCTACAACTGAAGACCTTGGTCTTAGACTTGACCGATCAGCTCCTCTAACCGTCTCTTTCCCTCCCAGGCCTGCAATGAATTCACCACACACGTGATGAACCTTCTCAGAGAGCAAAGTCGGACACGGCCCATTTCTCCAAAGGAGATCGAGAGGATGGTGGGCATCATCCATCGGAAATTCAGCTCCATCCAGATGCAGCTCAAACAAAGCACTTGTGAAGCAGTCATGATCTTGAGATCGCGGTTCCTTGACGCCAGGTAGGTTATACCTTGAGTGAATCGATTTTCAGCTTGACCAGTATGTTGCAATGTTTACGAAGATTGTCATTCCTTCAAATCCCGGCCAATTATTTGCTCAGTGTCCTCTTTCCTTGATAATAATATTTGGAGGCAAAACAGATATGTAAGGTGAATCTCTGCTATCTCTCGTGAGTGATGAAAGATAACGGGTCTTCCCTTTGGTAGGCTTTCATTTAACCCAGTGGTTCTCAACTTGTGGTCTGAGGACCACTAGTGGCCCACAAGAACTAGAATAAGGTCTGCAGCCTCACCGTTACTACACCATTGCAACAAAAACGACTGGTCTCGTGAAACCCTCTTATAGTGCTGAGGCTTATAAAAATATGGTTTTCTGTGGTTGAGCAGATGGCGACTACTGGATGGCATAGGTTCTACATCAGAAACTGGAAATGATGTGGTCTATCCAATGACATTTTCAGAAACAGCACCCCAAATAACCAAACCAAATCTAAAGTTGTCCAAAAACTGATTTGCAACCCTTTTGGTACTAATGTTGGAGAGTGGTCCCTGGTCAAGTGGTCCCTGGTAAAGTGGTCCCTAGTCAAGTTGTCCCTGGTCAAAAGTGGTCCCTGGTCAAATGGTCCCTAGTCAAGTCATCCCTGGTCAAAAGTGGTCCCTGGTCAAAGTGGTCCCTGGTCAAGTGGTCCCTGGTCAAGTGGTCCCCGTTCAAGTGGTCCCTGGTCAAGTGGTCCCTGGTCAAAGTGGTCCCTGGTCAAAAGTGGTCCCTGGTCAAATGGTCCCTGGTGAAAGTGCTCCCTGGTCAAGTGGTCCCAGGTTGGGTAGTTCCTGGTCAAAGTGCTCCCTGGTCAAGTGGTCTATAGTCAGATAGTCCCTGGTCAAGGTGGTCCCTGGTCAAAGTGGTCCCTGGTGAAATGCTCCCTGGTCATGATGGTCCCTAGTCAAGGTGGTCCCTAGTCCAAGTGTTCTCTGGTCAAAGTGGTCCCGGGTCAAGTGGTCCCTGGTCAAGTAGTCCCTGGTCAAGTGGTCCCTGGTCAAGTGGTCCATGGCCAAAGTGGTCCCTGGTCAAAGTGGTCTTTGGTCTAATGGTCCCTGTGGTCCCTAGTCAAGTGGTCCCAGGTTGAGTAGTCCCTGGTCAAAGCGTTCCCTGGTCCAGTGGTCCCTGGTCAAAGTGTTCCCTGGTCAAAGTGGTCCTGGTCAAGTGCTCCCTGGTTAAGTAGTCCCTGGTCAAGTGGTCCCTGGTCAAGTGGCCCATAGCCAAAGTGGTCCCTGGTCAAAGTGGTCCTTGGCCAAATGGTCCTGGTCAAAGTAGTCCCTGGTCAAGTGGTCCCAGGTTGGGTAGTCCCTGGTCAAAGTGTTCCCTGGTCAAGTGGTCCCTGGTCAGAGTGGTCCCTGGTTAAAAAAAAAAGATTGGGAACCACTGTTTTTTAACCGGTAGGATTTCCCTGTAAGTGTTCATGAGCTGAAGATTCCTCTTCCTTGGATTGGAGACAGAGAGATATTCATTCTACATGCATCTCCTTACTTCCTTTCAATAACAATCTCTCACAACTCTTTTCCTTGTTTGCTCTCCCCTCTTTGCAGGCGGAAACGGCGCAACTTCAGCAAACAAGCCACAGAAATCTTGAACGAATATTTTTACTCTCACCTCAGCAATCCTTACCCTAGTGAAGAAGCCAAAGAAGAGCTGGCAAAGAAATGCAGCATCACAGTATCACAGGTAAGCTGGAGTGTCTACAGCTGGCTCTCCATTTTCATGAAGGTTAGAGTCACGAGCCGCTAGGGTGTCTCCCAATTAGCTCAACGTTTTTTGCAGTTATTCTATCTGAATGCCATCTGTGCTCTCTTTTTGTCTCTCTAGAAATGTAGGCATTTTCAAACCCTCATCGTCTGATTATTCTTCTCCCTCCAATTCCTGAGCATTTCCCTGCTCCCCTTCCTCTTCCGAAGATGAGGAATCCCGAACAGCAACAATTTGATGCCCCCATATACAAATCGATAAAACAACAGTTACATAATAAGTAAAACGTTAAAATTAGATTTAAAAACCATTTAAAATAGTGAAAATTGAATTAGTTGGCATGTCTAAGTCCGAGTTTCACGATCAACAACTTAATCCGAAGCCTTTCCATAGCATTGCCATCATTGTCGGCCTGCTATCCGAATGTCTGGTCCCATAGCTACGTCTTCAACTTTTTCCTGAAGGAAAGGAGAGGGAAGCCATTGACCTAATTTCGCTGGGGAGAGAGTTTCACAGGCGGGGGGCCACCACTGAGAAGGCCGTCTCTCATCCCCACCATGGGTGTTTGTGATGAAGGTGGGATCGAGAGCAGGGCCTCCCCGGGGAGAGAGTTCCATAGGCGGGGGGTCACCGCTGAGAAGGCCTTGTCTCTCATCCCCACCAAGGGTGTTTGCAACGAAGCTGGGATCGAGAGCAGGGCCTCCCCGGGGAGAGAGTTCCATAGGCGGGGGGCCACCACTGAGAAGGCCCTGTCTCTCATCCCCACCAAGGGTGTTTGCGACGAAGGTGGGATCGAGAGCAGGGCCTCCCCGGGGAGAGAGTTCCATAGGCGGGGGGCCACCGACTGAGAAGGCCTAGTCTCTCATCCCCACCATGGGTGTTTGTGATGAAGGTGGGATCGAGAGCAGGGCCTCCCCGGGGAGAGAGTTCCATAGGCGGGGGGTCACCGCTGAGAAGGCCCTGTCTCTCATCCCTACCAAGCATGTTTGCGATGAAGGTTGGATCAAGAGTAGGGCCTCCCCGGGGAGAGAGTTCCACAGGCGGGGGGCCACCACTGAGAAGGTCCTGTCTCTCAGCCCCACTAAGCGTGTTTGCGACGAAGGTGGGATCGAGAGCAGGGCCTCCCCAGAAGATCGTAATTTTCGAGGTGGGACGTAGGGGGTGATACGTTCAGACAAATAAGCTGGGCTCTTACCTGTTGATCAGGTGGTTAAGTGAATCGGTTCCTCTCTCCTGCCGTGAAAGCATTCAATCTCAACACTGACCCTGACGTGTATTTTCCGCGCTCGCTTTCCCTTCGATTGGCTGAAGGCTCTTCCTCGCCGGCAGCCTGAACGCAGCCCTTCAGTAACAGTTCAATGACAGCTGTTTGTGCCGGAGCAATAAAAGTCTAGTAGACAAAACGACTCAGGCGCTTTGGTACATTAGAAGTGTCAGGGGCTTAAAATACTGCAGTGGGATCCGTGTCTCCTGCTACAGAAAAAAAAGATGACTTTTCGCTGTGGGGAGAGTTTTAAGATTTCTCTCTGTGCCCAAACACATAACGCTGGCTTCGCAACGCCAGATTCTAAAGACATCACACTTGTCTTTAATGTGCGCTCGCTTAGGAAAGGGAGAAAACAAAAGCAGAGGAGAAGAGACAGCCAAAGACCCAGTCCTAGAACAGGGGGACTTTTGATGCCTTGCCTTGCGCGCAGAACGACACTGCAAACCTATCATGCATTATTGATTTTGCGCGCTTTGGCTTTCACGCATTTATAAAGCCATAATATGTCGAAAGGGAGGGAAAATTTTGCTACCAATGGGTTTGTGATGTTGGGTTTGAGGAACAAAATGGGAAGAAAGGGATGTTTCGGCTTCGAAGATTTTCGAGTACTCTTTCTTGGAGCCGATCTAAGCCCTTTCCCACTTGCACAATTTCTCACAGGTAAATGTGTATGAGTTCACATACTTTGGTCTCATTGGACTCCGAATTGTAGAGTTGGAAAGAACCCCAAAGGTCATCTAGTCCGACCCCATTCTGTCATGGAGGCAGGCGTAACATGAGTCCTCCTGACAGATGGCCCTCCACCCTCTGTTTGAATACCTCCATAGAATCCTAGACTTGTGTGGGACCCCAAAGGCCATCCAATCCAACCCCATTCTTCTATGCAGGAAAGGCACAACCCAAGCCCTCCTGACATATGGCCTTCCAGGCTCTACTTCAGGACTTCTCTAGAATCCCCAAATCTCATCCAGCCCGGCCCCATTTCTGCCATGCAGGAAGGCACAATTCAATCCCTCCCAAAAAATGGCCATCCAGTTTCTGTTTCAAGGCCTCCATGGCATCCTAGAAGATTGACGCCGTGTTTCAAGGCCTCCATTGGACTCCAAATCCTAGACTTGGAAGGAACCCCAAAGGTCATCTAGTCTGACCCCATTTTGTCATGGAGGCAGTGCCCTCCTGACACTTGCCTCCAACAGACAAGGGTTCATTCTCCCACAGATATATAAACCCAATTTTCCTAGTTTCCAACAGCCCTCACAACCTCTGAGGATGCCCGCCATAGATGTAGGCAAAATGTCAGGAGATAAGGCACCGGGATTGTGGCGCAGCTGGCTGAGTGTCAGCTGCATTAAAATCACTCTGACCAAAAGGTCATGAGTTCGAAGCCAGCCCGGGTTGGAGTGGTTTTCCAACCAATTGTGTGTAGCCTGTTGTCGACCTTTGCAACCCGAAAGACAGTTGCATCTGTCAAGTAGGAAAATTAGGTACCACCTTAAAGTGTGGGGAGGCTAAATTAACTGATTTATGAGGCCATAAATAAGACTCCAGCAAAGCATTCCAGCGGGGAAGCATGCGGGGAATGCGGAAGTGCTTCATCAGTGTCGCAGATGGACGAGGAAAGCGACAGCTCCCCTGGCAGCCAGAAAAAGTTAGATAGCCTCTGTGTATGTCTGTATATGTTGTATGTCAAAAATTGGCATTGAATGTTTGCCATATATGTGTACACTGTAATCCGCCCTGAGTCCCCTGCGGGGTGAGAAGGGCGGAATATAAAAGCTGTAAATAAAATAAATACATAAATAATGCTTCTGGAACGTGGCCATATAGCCCCAAAAACCTACAACAACCCAGTGATTTCGGCCATGAAAGTCTTTGACAATACATCCGATGGCAGTGGTTCTCAACGTTCCTAATGCCGTGACCCCTTAATACAGTTCCTCATGTTGTGGTGACCCCCAGCTATTAAGTTATTTTCATTGCTACTTCATAATTGTGATTTTGCTACTGTTATGAATCGTTATGTAAATATCTATTCTGCAGGATGTATTCTCATTCACTGGACCAAATTTGGCACAAATACCCAGTATGCCCAAATTTGAATACTGGTGGGGTTGGGATGGGAGGATTGATTTTGTCATTTGGGAGTTGTAGTTGCTGGAATTTATAGTTCACCTACATTCAAAGAGCATTCTGAACTACACCAACAATGGACTTGAACCAAACGTGGCACAGAACTCTCATGACCAACAGAAAATACTGGAAGGGTTTGGTGGGCATTGACCTTGAGTTTTGGAGTTGTAGTTCTACATCCAGAGAGCACTGTGGATCAAACTTGGCACGAATATTCAATATGCCCAAATGTGAACAGTTGTGAAGTTCGGGGAAAATAGACCTTGACATTTGGGAGTTGTAGTTGCTGGGATTTATAGTTCACCTACTACCAAAGAGCATTCTGAAGCTCACAAACGATAGAATTAGGCCAAACTTCCGAGACAGAACTCCCATGACCAACAGAAAATACTGTCTGTGATGGTCTTTGGTGACCCCTCTGACACCCCCTCGCGACCCCTTCAGGGGTCCTGACCCCCAGGTTGAGAACCACTGTCCTATGGTATGCCATGGTTAAGGGATTTTTAAGAATGGTAGCGAGAGAAAAAAACCTTCTATCTTCTAAATTAGATTACAGGGAAGGAAACGCTCAGGAAAAACCCAGGTTTGTTGTGTGCGCAAGGGCTTTGTGAGCTCCTTGTGGTTCCAGACAGAGGCACCCTGTTCCTTAATTCCTTGGCTTATCTTTCCCTGGCAGCGTCATTGTTTTGCTCGCCAGGCTCGGGGAATTTTGCAAAAGCCGCCCCTCTCGAAAGCGAAGCAGCGCCTGCAAACCCAGATGTCAAATTAACCCTGCCTTTCTCCTCGCCTCTCTCTCTCTCTTCTGCCTCCAAGCCAATGATTAAGAACATCTCCATGAACAACAACAGGGGGGAAAGAACCCGCCCGCCTGGATGGATCTTCACCGTCTTTTTTTGTCCTTCTTGAAAGGATCTCTCTTGTCACTTGTCCTCGTTTTGCACTCATTCATTATCTCCTCTTCCCACCTCCACCCATCCCCTCCTTTCACATTTCTCACCCCCCACTCGGGTTTTGTTGCCTTGGGGGCAAGAGATGGACAGACAAAGCTCCGCATCTGCCCTCTTCTCCTCCTTTCCTCCTTGTCGCCTCCCAGCAGAAACTTGGCTAGATTTTGCCCTTTGGCTGTTTTGTTCAGATATGCAAGGGATGGAAGGATCTGGCCTGGAGTCTCCTGTAGAAATGGGAGAAGATGGAGACGTGAACACGCACACACAACACGGAGGCGCACGCTGCACCAAGCCCTCCGCCTGGACAAATGAAACAGCCCCCGGGCGTGTTTTTTTCCACTCCACTTCCTTTGCGCTTGGGAAGCCTTTTTCCTCCGGTTCCCATCCTTCCGGCTGATGGGAGAACTTGTTCCGATAGACACTAATTAGAATTTAAAAGTGAGATGCATGTATGATACGATTTCACCGGGTAAAGCCTGGCCGACTCATGTGGATGAGTTTCAAGTTAGGAAGAAATCAACACACACACACCCCATGTTTTTTTTCCGTGTCAAGAGAGCAACTTGAGAAACTGCAAGTCGCTTCTGGTGTGAAAGAATCATAGAATCATAGAATCAAAGAGTTGGAAGAGACCT